ATTCAAACATTGAACTACACTCCTCTAACAGAAGGTACTTCTGGAAACGCAGTCCTTGGTGTATGACCTCTTCTTTATTCAGCTCTCATCCAACCTTAGATTTCAGACTGGCACGGAATCTGTGACATTTTTTCACAACATACTGCTGACCCGATGTTTGTAACAAAGAAAAACGGCCAGCATGACTCAAAAATCTCCAGCCACAAAAATATATGGAAAAATATGTCTTGGATCAACTAAAAAATGTCTTCTAAGTCTGGCTAAAATGTGGAATTGAAACAACATCTCTTGGCTCCAATGGGGGAGCTAGGTCACGATCTTGTGTCCTGTCCAAGAGTGGGTCAAACTCTTGTACCTACCAAACTGTCAGACGGTCGTTAAGTTGGGTCCGTCAGAATAACACAGCCCAGGGCTGTGGGACAGGAATACGGAAAGGGTGAGAATTGCTGAAGAAGAAACTGGAATGTCCTCCTGCCTTTTGGTGGATTTATTTTCACTCCCAGGTATGAATAGAGCCGTAAGGAGACAGTTAAAAGCGACCTGCACCTATTCTTTCACTTCAGACCCATGTGGTTTGTTCTGTCCCCTGCAAGGGGAGGTGGCAGCTTGGCAGCCCTGGAGCCACAGCAGACTCGGGGTGAAGTGCAGCCTGAAGCAGCGGGGCTAATACTTTTCAGAGCCATGGGGCACTAAAACTAACGGTTTTGTAGGGAGCCACGTATTTGCCTTTTGCAGTCCTCACACCTATTATATAGATAACATAACACATAGGAATTTTTTTGAGAAATAATTAAATAGCTGATTTAAGCTTCAGAAAACTTCGCCAGTTTAAGACATTATGAACAGATGATGTCCCTACTTTTTTTTTTTTTTTTTTTTTTTTTATGAATCCCAGCCACCGAAACACTCTCCCTCACCTCAGTGACTAACCCTGCACGCACAGGAACAAACATGATCAATTGCGTGAGCAGCGCTAAACACAAAAGCACTAGATATTTGACTCCTGACCTTAAAACAGCCCCAAACTACAGGGAAATGTACTCCCACTGGCAGCAAAATGACCTGGTGACAGCTCCTGTACCACAGGAGATCCTGTCCCTCCCCACAGGTTGCTCTGCATGGAAGTCACATTCTGAACCATGACCCTAAGGGTGAAATGTCGGGGACATCCTGCTGGGCCAAACGCTTCCCATCTAGTCTGGATTTTGCCCTTTTCCTTCCCTCAGGAAGCTGTAGTGCATGTCCGGGACACTGCATAGCCATCTATTTGTAAAGTCAGGTTAGAAGACTTGCTGAGACATTACAGTTCCAGCCCTGGAACTAAAAGTCCGTAACTTAAGTTCCAGGTGCACAGAGTCATTTGCAAAGCATGGTATCGTCATCACAATAAGTTACACCGCTAAGACATGCACTAAAATATTGTGCAGTGTTATTTGAGAAATCTGCTGCAGGAAGGGGGAGAGAGAGCAGAAAATATAATTGTAATATGAAAAGTTATGGTGAGGCAAGGGCTGAGCAAAGATCAAGCTAGACATTAAATATGACCGCGCTGTTTCTGTCACATAGGGGATTTTTGTCAAATTGGAGTACTTTGAAAAGAAAGTCAATTGCTTTGCTGATCTTTGGATTTTCTAGGAAGGCCTCCAATTAGGCTCTAATACCAATGATAAGTCAAATTAGAAAACCTGAAAATCTCAATTTCTGGATCCCCAAATTAACAAGGGATTAACATTTTAACCTGCAAATACCCTTATTTTATCTAATAGGAGGAGTGATTGTTCAGCAGCTCTACAGACCCAGTAATTTATTTAGGCAGCCATAGATAAAATTAGGAATTTAACTTTAGGTACATGCATTTGAAAATGTGACATTTCTAGGGTGATATTGTTATCTTAAAAAATAACCAAAAGAGCTTCTTTTTTTTTTTTTTTCCTTCTAAAAATGAGATCTTCTGATATGATGATCCGAGATGTGCAAGTTCAGTTCGCTCAGAAGGAGTTCAAGTTCTTAAGACCCTGGAACTAACCTGGATCAAAATACTAGAAATTCTGTGACTATAAGAATTTTCTGGCAGGGATCAAACAAAACTAATAGCTCTATACTGTCTTTAAGTGATCTGATCCTGTAATTGTCAATGTGTGCACATGCATTTATACAGGCTGCTATCTTCAAAGACTGCAAAAAGGTATATAAAAATAAACTAACAAAACCACTCCAAGGAGTTGCAGACCATGTGCTCCAGCTTCTATTTTATCAAAGCTAGATCACAGAAACTCCATTATGGCTTTAGGGACAAAATGTGGTAAGATGCTATTTGCCTACTGTTAGCACTCATAATGTAGAAAATCTGTCTGCAGATTTCTCCTTCAAATTTTCTTCTAAATTCGCCTCAAAGGTTAATCTAGCCTTTTAGCAAAGCTTTACTTTTCTCATACAAACAGATGTCAGACGGTTTACACAGAACGAGCCCAGTAAACATTGCTGTGCAGGACTGCTAATGTGCAGAGATGTATGCTGTCTGCTTGCTGGAGTTTCAACTGCCATCGCACATATGGACATATTCCCTTTCTCTCAACGTTTACGTCCTTGGCACATTGGGCAGTCCCACCGCACTGGACATCACCGCAACTGGGTAACTGGCATTTGGCTCAGAACGAGCAGGGCCCAGGTCACTGCCACAGAGAACCTTTTGGAAATACAAAGCATGGCAAAAAATGATACAGCCTTAACTTGGGCTATGCTGTCTAGGTTAGCCTGTCCTAGCTTTGTTCAAAAGTTGGTTTGACCTGCAGTTTGTTCTACAATCAAACAAGAAAGATAGCTTGAACTTGGCTTCCTGACCTTCAGAGGCCTATCTGAACCTGTGATTTATGAGAAAATCAACTGATTTTTTTTTTTCCCCTAAATTGACACAGATAAAACTCAAAAGCAGCCCTTCAAAAGACGCTTTCAAATCTTGAAAGTGTGACTTCTTATGATACAGAAATATTACATTCTTCACAGGGGAATGGCTGTTTTACAAAAAGTTTAAAGCTCTTTTTGAGATGCTGAGGCACATGCTATAGTTGCAATACATTGTTTTAAAAAATGATTAAGTCTCCTCAAAACTTGGTATAACTTTCTGTTCTGAAAAAAGGAAAAAAGAAAAACACACACACACACCCCAACCAAAAAAACCTGTAAACTATCTGCTTAAATTTACTTAAAATTAGTCTCAAATACCTGGTTAAAATTAAGCAAGGACTTTATATGTTTCCCTGCTCAAATATGTAAGTGCGTTTACAAACTGCTGCCTTAGGGAAGTAGAGTGCAGAGTCTTCTGTACAGGACAGTTAAAGGTAAATCAATTAAAACACAAACAATGAATGCCCATAGGTCTTTAAAGGCTGATATGCTTCTAGCTGGGTTTTCACTTCAGCCACTGGTGGCTGAGAGTGTGCTTGCCCAGTTGATTAGAAGATCACATTTTTTTTTCCAAGTATGGACTGCAATGGAGGTTAGAGGTGGCATTTCAAACCAGTAATCTTTATTTTGGTGTTTAGTGCATGTTGTGGGAAGCGCTGTGTCTACAAATTAATGAAGTTTTTATTCTCAGCAGAGGAAAGAATCTTTGCCAATCCAAAGCATGAGTAAGAGAAGGGGAGTAAATTAAAAGCACTGCAGTATCATAGTCAATATACAGCCTTGCAGGGTTTTTTTTGTCTTATCTGGTGGAAAATCAGAAGTGTCATCTATCCCCTTACTCTGGCTTTCTGGGCTAAGACATAACTGGGGTTGCAACTTTGGGACTACTGCCATGAGTCACATCCCACCCAGAGGTGATGCTTTCGTGAGCACCTGTCCTGGTCCACATCTCCCCAGCCTTTAGAAAGAACCAGCACTTTTTCTGCACTCAGAAAGTCTCATAGAATGAATTACCATCGAGAGTGGAAGACCGGTTGGGTGTTTGATAGTTCCTGTCATTTAAACTAGTTTTTGTCGCAGATGAACATTTAACAAAAAAACATATCTAACACCTGGGACCAGCTCATTTGAAAGGGCAGTTCTTTTCCCTTCTCCTTCCTCGTTGCCATGGTTGCCATCACAGCAGGACTTGGCCTCAGACACAAAATCACTCATGTAAGAGAAAAGCTATGAAAATTCCTGAGGTTTGAAACTCACTCCAACCCAGTCCAAATCAGTCCCAGCACATTGACCTTTTGGGCATGTCAGAGGGCTCCTTTGTCAGTAGCTCAGAGAGGAATCAGGAGGAAATTGTGCAGGGGGCATGAGGGGACCTGGAAGCTTCTCCAGGGCTCCTTCACCAATGAGGACCCCAAACCTGCCTCCTGCAGGAACTAAGGACCATTGCCAGTCTCACTGCTTTCTACTTCAGATGCAAGGTGCAATTCTTTAACCTGACAACTCTGCATCAGCGCAGAGTGCCATTTAAGAAAAATTCTCAGACTCCACTAACAAGAAAAAAGCAAATAAAAAAGCTTTTTACTGCACAGACCATTCCTTCTCTGGGGAGAAATGGAGAGAAGCTGCAAGCCATACATGCAATTCTTAGCTATGCTTCTTAACATGATAAGGGAAGGCAACCAGACATTAAATGGAGCAGAGATTTTATTAAAACAAAGGGGTTTGAACATAGTTTTAGCTACAGAAGAAGTTGTGTTAATTTCTGGACAAACGTGAATATTTTTTTTTCAGTACTTTAATTTTTTACCAGTGTTTAAAGCCTAAATTCTCTTTTCTTTTCTTTTTTCTTTTTTTTTTTTTTTTTTTTAGCAGAATGACCATGTAAGTCAAAATAAATATCTAAATCTGTTTATGACACAGTGCAAATGGCTTCTCTCTTCCCCTCTGCATGCCCCAAATGGTGATACCAGAATGCTATGTGATACCTAAGGTGAGGCAGGGAAAAGTAAAACATTGACTAATCCCAATAACTCCTGCCTTTCAATGCTCAGCTGAATTCTCAATAGAGGAAACTTGCCTTGATGACTATAACTTACCTCTTCTCGATGTTCTTCTCCAGAGCGCTGAATATACCACCTAATAGAGGCTTGCTGGGACTTAGGAATACATTCCAGAAAAGTTGAATTAAATTCAATGCCAAAAATCACCTTTTCATCAGCAGTTTCATGACTAATGCCTGGAAAGCAAACATGGTACAGGAGATTAACCCTGACCTGGTTTTTAAAGCAATGGGAAAATAGCCTGATTCAGAACAGATGCTATAGGAGTGAGTGAATTATAAAAAAGCAAAAGGAAACTTAACTTTTAGCTTAAACTATAACTATAAGGATTTAGAGGCGGCTGCTAACCTTCCTTCAGTGCAACTGGTTTTTAAGGAGGTCAATAAAATCTGTATCACGAGCTTGCTCCATTTTAAAGTTGAGGCTTTTACCTTTGAGGAATTTAAAATCTGACCTGCATTTTTCCTTTAAGTAACGCAACTACTAAACCTGAACTAAAGCTGCTAAAGGTAGATTGTACACTCTGGTTTGTTCATCCTAAACATTTTAAAGGAGTCACCAGGATAAAGTAAACTGAAGTTTACCTTCCTTCAGTATAATTTGAAATGTTCTGTAGTATGTTTCAGACCAAACACTGAAGGAGCCATGAGCAGATCTGGGCTCCTTTCTTGACCTTCTGTAAACCTGAGCAAGTACTTTCTAATCTCTGCATCTGCATTCCCTTTTCCAGTCTGTCTTATGTGTGTCTTATCTGCCTTAAGACTAAAGCTGTTTCTTATGCCCTGCCAATAACAGAAAGGAAGGTGAAAGCAGTGGTGTCTCCTAAATCAAAAGTTAGCTCAACAAAAAAATGAATGTGATTTGGGATTGTTTTTTCAATATAACATGTACCTATATGAGATCTATAGAAATTCAAGCTCTCCACATTAAATGCTTTTCTTTTATTTCACTGTGCCACTGAGATTTCAGTAGAGCCAAACAACTTCATGCAGCCAATGAGGTCTCTGGGAGGGAATCTCACACAGTGGAGCACTGAATTTAAATAGGTTTTGGGGCCATAATGTTATTAATTATCGCAAATGGCATAAATAAGCCAAAAGCCTGGAGTGGCACAGGTCAGCTTCATGGTTTTATGGCACACAAGGGTCATCCCCAGCTGGATAAAATTTCTGTCGGTGGTGCTACATCAGGGCAAAGGATTAATACCACTTTCTCTGGTAAGTAGTTTTATATTTGTCTAGTAAAGCCAACTCTTCCAGTATCTCTTTATCCTGCCAGGAAAATGTGACATTGTCGGCCTTTCTGCTAGGGTTTCTATAACCTTGAGCTTTGCACAGTCTCAGATACCACTGTTTGGAGAGCCATGCTAAGCAGCAAGCGGGGAAATTCTGGCCCTTTGGGAATGAACAGGAGTTTTGTCATTGACTTTAATGGAAATGAGATTTTACCCCGACTTTTTAACTACGGCTGCAAGCACACATGTACAGTCAGACCCCTCTATACTGTGCAACAGACTTAAGTCTTTGATCCTGTGGCAAGCAGCTCTGATTTCTGCAGTGACTCACGTCGAGATCTGCGGCAGGCCTCCAGCACCACAGCGGCATGAAAATAACCAGAGATCAATGGAAAGCGGTGGCTCGTCCCGAATCCAACGTTCAGCTCAGCGATGCAATCAATACTGTTTTGACTGGGTTGTTCACTTTAATAAGTGGCTAGAAGAGCCCCAGACAAACCCAAGCTTGGTTTTGAATGCTTTTCATTTATTTTACGCTGCCACAGAGATTGCCGCGCAACCGCAGGATTTCATCCTGACAGTGCTCACTGTAAGAGAAGCGCTGCAGTTGCCAAAGGAGTAAGCCAGACACTTTGGCATCTGAAAAGAGGGTGTGGGAAAGGGAGGGGGGAGCCGACGGGGGGGGGGGGGTGGGGGTGTAGGCTCTTGTTAATAACAGGAGTATTTAAGTATCTGCGGGGAGAGGAAGGGGCTGGTTTGGTAGCTGGAGCTGGGCTTTGGGACTCCTGTCAAGTGTATGCGGCAGAAGGGGAGAAGATGGCATGTTCCCCATTCACCCCTGCGGGTTTCCTCATGGGGTTATCTCCCCTGTTTCTGGATGAACGGAGGTCCTGATAGCTACTTGTAGGGATGTGTGTGATTTTGTGTCATCTTCCTCCCCTAGGTGAGTGCTGGGGAGCATTGCCTGTAAGGCATGTGAGGGGGCTGTCTCATGCTGGCTGCTCCTTATCAGCCCCACCTCCCCAAATTTAACTGTGGGAGGGGTAACATATATGAAGTGTGGGAAAGGCAACTCAACTGTTTTAACAGTATTATTCTGTCAGGCTTAGCAGGTTTTCACAGGCAGATGAAGACACTAGCATCAAACTGTTGTCAAAGTGACTAAAGAGCAAGAAAGGTGCAAAATACTTACTATCTTCCACATCCCAGCATTGTGCAATGGGGTCTCCATATTTGACATCTTGCCTTCTGGCTCGCCTATGGGAAGAGCATGCAAACTTGTAACACTTCAGGCATAATTGCTGGAATTCAACAACAAAATACAGAAGAGCTCAGCAGATGTGGACTCGCATTGCTCCCACCCTACTGCTGACAATTACGGTCTTAACTAAAACCAGCCTCACCCTCAAAGCAGCATGTGGCCTAGAGAGATTTGTACAACTGACATCAAGGGAAGGGCCTGTGATTTGGGAAACCACTGGGAGGGGAAAGAGAAAAAGCAAGAGAAGAAAATCTGCCGAGAATGAAAAGCGTGCAATATAGTGACGAAAAGAACATCTAAACCTGCTTTAGGAGCACAGGGCATGGGTCTCCTGGTGGCATGGACTGTCTTGGAAATACCTAAAAACATCCTTAATGTTGTATGTCATAGCAAAGATCTGAGGTTCAACAGGAGATATTCAAAATTGAGCTCAGGATCAGCCCAAGATAATACTGGCTAGTAAACCAATAATTAAAATGAAGAGAGAAAAGCATATGTTTTAGTTTGGTAATAAACAATTGACAAATCTGATTATCTTTCATCTTTCTGAACAGAAAAAAATGCTTAATACAATGGTCTGAGATGATCTGCTCCCTTCCACAGCTATCTTTCCTGATAATGTCTGTGTGTGTTACTTAAAGTCACTGTGATTTAGTGTAATTTCAGTGTAATAGCATCAAAAAAAAAAAAAAAAAAGCAAATTCTTTCTCCTCGGATGATTGCATTTCTCTCCCAAGAACTACAATAAAAAGTTGCACTTTAATTTTCCAGTAGAAGACTTGGAGACCCAGGGAGGAACTGGTTTCTCCCTCATGACCACACTGGAGATAACAGGAGTGGGACATCCTATGTGCAGAGCAATGTCTTGGCCGGAGAGCAGGTTCCTGAGACTGAGCTGTCCACTGTGGTAAAAGCTGTAGACACGCTGGAAGCACAGGCTACTACACAGAAGAAAAATATTCCAGTAACTGATCTACTGGAGGATTCCCAAGGCCAGTCACCCATCCCTTGCTTTGGAGCCACAGACTTTTGGCCTTCCCACCAAACTGCACATCTGTTAACAAGCATGGACCATCAATCTCCATGTCCCAGCCCACCTCAGGCTTCAGCAAACCTCATGTGTCACTAACTTTGCAGTGAGCCTGAACACTTGCTTTTCTCCTTTCATTTATGCTTCTCTGAATTTAGTTTGCTTTGGCTTTGAGGGAAAACACACAAAGTTCCTTGACAACATGACACGATAACCTATGAGTCATTAACTTCAACGGTTTGTCTAATTGCTCAGGTTCCAGCCCTGCAACTGCTAAGGTAGCAAGTGTTGTTCCAGAGCCTGAGCTCAGACTGCAGCCTCTGACCCTTGCTGCAAGAATTACTGTCAGGAAGGCTCTGTCCAAAGGGGAATGAAGAGGCTGTGAAGGTCCCTGGCTCATTGAGCGAGTTCAGAGCTCCAGCTAAATCAGCCAAAAACTCCAAGAGACATATCCAGCAACTTAGGTACTGCACTGCTAGAGCCTGCAGGGTGCTCTCCCTCCACACAAATTCATGCTGCTGTCCTAGCTAGTGAGTACAGAAAGTTCAGATGAAGCTTCTTTCACTGTTGAAAAACTGCTTCCGATGCAGTCAAATCACAGTACTTAAATCTCTGTCTCCCTCTCATGGCTAGACCCCAAATACAATTGCTGAGAGTGACACTCTTTGAGTCAAGTTATCTAAGTAAGTAAAATCAGGCAGGAGAAGTTTGTTCATTTAGAGGAGGGAATTAAATGTATTATATTATTTGCCACTCTGGGATTCTATGTTAAACTCTGCTTTGTAACTATGGTGGTGCCCTATGCAAAAGGCAGCAGCTGAAGAGAGGCTTTTGCATCTCGGGCAGAATCAGCCACAACCTGGAGCTCCATCGGAGCATCTCGTGCCTTAAAGCATTCAGCATAAAAATGGAAAGTGACGGATTTGTGATGTTAGCCACAGTAGCCGTGTTACTGTCACACACACTTAAACAAAGCTATGTTGTCTTCACAGCTCTTTGAGCAGAAATGTGAAACGGGCCAGAGTATGATCAAATTTTAAGGCAAATGACATGCTAAGTAAAAAGGCAACATGTTCTGATTGGGAAACTCTAAAATTCTTGCAAGCAGCAAGATCTTTTACAACACGTTGTATTTTTTTTCTTACCTTTTAGAAGTGGGGGCATATCTGGAACACGAGTTTCCATCCCAGGCACAGTATGGGTCTCTGGCAAGGCAGCAATCTGCACAAGCCTTCCCATACGTATGACATCTGTGCAGAGAGAGCTGAACCAATCCATCCCTGGAACCAATGTACAATTGTTGCTGCAAATCAGGCAAAGCGAATGAATTAGGAGCGTTCTGCAAGTAGCCCGCTTAAAAATTTCCCCTCTTCAGTGCCACACTTGCAGGCTTTCAACCTTGTCCCAGATTTTACAAAACGAGGGAGAACTTGCCCTTTACCAGGAAATATTTCTCAGAGCTCAGTGTGAACTGGCCAGTCCCCATCAATCCCTGACAACACAGCAGAGAGGAAAGGCGACTGCAGTCCTGGAAAGACACCAGCACTCAACACCCTTACACCTTTAGATTTGTTCTGTAATAAAAAATCAGAAGCAAACCATGGAAAGAATGGTTTAATAACGCATTTAAAAGCAAGTGGTTGGGTAGCCGGTGACGTTAAAAATCTGGGAACTAGGGATGTGTGAATAAAACTTCATCTTCTGCTTCTGATCCTTAGGTAAGGAGGGGATATTATTACTCCCCTCTCCCCAGTGTGCGAGTAGATTGCCTGTTGAGACAAGGGTGGTCCGAGTGCTTGCTGTTGAGCCAGAGCTGGCTCATGCAATACTTCCAGCTGGCCTGCCACCTTTTTTCAGGGGAGATGGGACCCAGCTGTGCTGTGCGTGCCTGAACCACGAAATACCTCCTCCCGTGTGAGGGAGTCGTGTTGTGCCGGAGCTGCTTTGGCCACTTCTGAGGGGTAGGGAGGGATGGCTCTAGTGTCACGCTGCCGCCTGAACGTGCACGTAGCCATCACAGAGCTCGGAACTGCCATAAAACCATTTCCCATCAGGAGATTCCCAACTGGAATTGGCTCCTGTGACTGCCAGGATTGGACCACCCAGGCTTAGACTGCAATTTTAGAGGAGGGGGACTGGTTTTCAGTCTGTGTGTTCACAAATTTTAGCGCAATGAGGCCCTGATCTCTCTTGACTACTAATAAAAATAACAACAATAATAGTAATAATAATTTAATACTGGATTGTAAAGAGACAAGTATTTCTAGTGTCCAGAAAATGAATGTGCATTGACTTCATTCACAAATCCCACTACCATATGACTAAATATTTGTTTCCATGAATAATTACCAGCTTGGGTACACAAATTACTGTTTGTAAGCAAACGGGAATTAGGCAAGCAAAAAAGTTCAAACATATCTCTTGCTTTCCAGATACATTTTAAGAGTCACCCATGGAAAGCTTTGCCAGTAAGTAACAGGCTACACCTGAAAATAACAAGCTAAATGTTCAGTGTACCGTATACCCTGCAGTAATTAAACGAGCTTGTGATTACCTGCTTCTGAGAAATCTCCATGGTCGAGATCAACGAAGGGTGCTGAAAAATGAATTAGTAAGGTGCATTAGTTTACACATTCCCTGTTTTTAATGAAAAGGAGAACAGACCCGAACATACAAAAAGTAAATCACAGATCCATTTGCTTGGTTTAAACAAACATTAAAAACAAACAGAAAAAAACCGAGAAATGTCTAAATTCATGCTTCCAAAAATACCTCCCATAATTTTTCCCTGCTGCTTATGAGGCAACTGACTTTAATTCTTAGAGTTTGCAATCTATCCCATCCTGGAGACTGGCAATGAGCCTTCACATCAACTTAAGTTCTCATTAAGCACTATTTGAAAGGTTTAGATGACATTGAAAGGATACATAGGCAGATCCCCTGCATCAGGATATATTTCACTTCTATGAGAGACGATGAAATTTTTGCCAGTGACTGATATAAGAACAGGACAAAGCTCAGAGTATTATTTGTTGCCTAACAGAAGATGATTAATCTAAGCCTATTGTTTAATGTTAATGCAGTTTGAGAAAATAAGGGATGTTTTTTCAGCCCTTCACCCCCTTCAATTTTCTGGATTCAAAAACATAGAGGTAACAGTTATAAATGTTACCAATAAAAACGTGAAGGAATGTCTGCTGAGCAGGAAAAAAAAATAACCCTCTTCTTGTTTTAAATATGATATGTTACATTTGCCCTTGACGTTATGTCTTAAGAATGCAGCAAATTGGTGCACATACTGAAACTGCTGATTACTTGGCAGGCCACTGAGTAATCTTGAAATTTTTAAAGTGATATTTAAAATTGGTGTCCAAGACAGTGGGAAGAAGGCATGGAGATCCTTTAAATCAAAGTTCCATCATACACATGACATACCAAAAGGCATATGGAGAAATATAGTCCTTGAAATAATTATTAAAGATCCTGTCCTCACACGTGAAAAACACTGCCTCTAAGTTGCAAATTCATTTACTTAGCATGGGCAGAAATTCTGGCTAAGATCTTGTACAGCACATAGGAGAGAGGATGTGTAAGAAAGTAATAAAAATGCCACAGATGCAGGTAAAATTTGATGAAAAAGCAAGGTGAAAACTGAAGAAGAGCTATATACAAAGTGAGAAAAAAGCAAAATGAGAATGCAAAGACTGAAGAAGGACCTACTAAATGGAAAAGAAAATCAGTAGAGAAGACACAGATCTCCATTTTCCTACTGTAGTGATATCTTGACATCAGCTCCCTCATCAGCAATGAGGTTAATCAGAAATTGTGCCTGTGCAACAGACAGGAGGTTTGGGCTTTTTACACGCTCAACTTATGAAGAAGTCATTGGTGTTAGCAGTGCACCGGTTACTTTTCTTGTTTATCACTTGGCCAGAATAACCAAATCAAAATGGCCAAAAATGTTGAGCCAGATTTCACCAACAAAATTAAAACACATTGAAAATCAAAACTAACTTTGTTTTGTGTTCTTTATGTTTACAATTCTGAAAGTTGTTAAAGAATTCTCTGCATTGGTGGAATTTTGTTTGTTTGTTAAAAAAAAATAAATAATTGTTCTAGGAATAGTCCTGAATCTGAGACAATAGAATAATTTGCATTAAAAATACAATACTACTAATAAAAAAATTTGGGTTCACAATAGGATTTCAAAATAGAACAAGGCAGGACAAATGAGACTTCTTATGAGTTTGAAAAATCATGGTCTGTTCTGGACTTTTTTCAATTCACTTACCCAAAGAATACCAAGGCATTTAAAAATTTACATAGTGTCCCTCTGGAAACTTGAACTAGTTCCAGTAAACAAACAACCAGACAGACAAAGTCAGTTTGGGCCTTAAAGTCCCCTGAATAATATTTAATTGATGTTGTGGCTGTTAACGCTTACCTTGAATATCTGCAGCTCTTCCAGGACCACCTCCTCCTTAGTCCACTTCTCCTTTGTGATACTCACAACTTTCAGGACTGTGCCTATGTCTGAAACAAATGTTCACCATGTAAAACCCACAGTTATGTTTCAGTACATAGGTGCCACTCCATTTCTTATTTCATAGCAACTTGATCTCAGATTATTTTTTTTTTTTTTGACAATTGATGCTATAAACTTAGGTTACAAAAAGAAATTTAAAACTAAAAACTTGGCCCTGAAGATACAGTTAATACAAGGATGTAGCCTTCAAACAACATCTATCCCTATCGGCAGCTATCACTGCCTACATAGCTCTATACAATACATCCATGGTCTTACTGCATGGCTGAGCCAACACTATTGTAAGGCTGCTCCTGGCAAGGATGGTCTAACTGTAACTCTCCTCTACACAAACACACACACAAACACAGACAAGTACATGAATTGGGGTCCATCTGACCCCAAAGAGATCCAGATTAGGGGACTAACTTGGCAGAAAATTATTGCCTCTTTTTTTATAGAATTAATTTTCATCCTATATAGCACCTTAATCAGAAGTAGGTTTCACTTTAACTTGGGGAGTTAAGCAACATATTTTTTTAATTTATCTTTTCATTTTAGGGACATTTTTTAACAAAATCTCCATTCAGCATCATAATTTTCACTTAATCATTACAGAAATGACTTATTTGAAGTTATCTGGAGAGTTTTTTAAAGTTAAATCTATTCATCAATTCACCTGAATTAGTACTTGGTGATAAAAACAGCTTCTCATTTTATCTCAGACCATTACACACTGGTGAATCTTGAATGGCCTTAAAAAGAAGCCTAAAAACTGCTCCGGGGAAGTGGACTGGGTGCTGGGATATGCAGTGTGGAAATAACATAGCACAGCTTAGTCCTAAATATGATGCATAGCATTGAAATGATAAAAAATAATCTATTATAATGGAAAGAATGAGATTTTCATTCTTGTTTTCCCAAACTGCTGAAGATCATATTACCAATAACACCAACCAAAACCAAAAGTTTTTCAGTTTGCCTTATGTATTAGAGCTTTTGTTTGTTTGTTTGTTTGCCAAAGCCTGCATATGTACAAGTTGGTTGCATACATTCAAACATATAATAAGCTTCTGATCTTCTGCTGCTCAAAATCTCTTGGATTACTTGGTATATCTGTGTTCAGTCTCTCTATATAATATTTGAAATTTTATCTTTCGAGTTTTGGGGGTTTTTTTTCATAGGACAAGTTTAGAGGATAAAATAGAACAAAAACATGTGCTTCTGGAAAAGAAAACTCACTTTTCAGGGAAGACATTGCAGATAAATATGTATCTGTATATTATGGAGTGCCACCTAGCGACTGCATGGTACCTGCTGGCCTTGACACCCCTAAACCTGACCATTTACTCGGAAAGAATTAGCATTGGTGCTGGGTAGCAACAGTTAACCTGGGAGTATTCAAGTCGCTCGTCTCTCAATATAATTTTATTCCTATGAAAAATTTTATAGTGGAGTACAGAAAACATTTTAAAGCAATCTCTGTAGCAACTAAAAGAATATTTTGTACATTTTAACTAGTGAACTCATCTTTTCAGACAGCTAAGTTTTAAATTACTTTTTCTCACTATTATCAGAAGAAAAGTGAGTACTCCCAAATCCCAGGCATCTCACAGCTTGGGAATGTGTTCCCCTTGCTTCTCTGTTGACTATATTACAGACTGCATTCAGAAAGCAACAAAGATTTTCTGTCATCATGGCTAAAGCTTATTCCCAGACTTCTCAGGCAGCAGGGGACCAAAGAGCACTTTAATCTTCTTTTTTTATGAAACTATGCTTTTCTCTCTGACACCACTGTACTTGACCTGTGGGGATCATAGGGGGACTCTCACACCGTCTTTTTTTGGAAGACAAGAGTTGTGAGAGGGATTGAGCTGAGAGACATAAATGGTCCAAGAGAGAGGCTATAACTGGACTCGCGTGTGTCATAACACAGCTGGGAAGATCTTGAAGGCTGAGACAACCCACACTTTATAAGAGGCAATGGCTCTGTGACAATTCACTCCTTTCCCCAAATGACTTCAAAATATCCATATTTATCAAACTACCCTGTGTGACACCAAATTTGCTTATAGACCAGACAAAATGCTGTACAACCCAGCAGCACTGGGGTAGGATTCAAAGAGAAATCTTAATCTCCCTGCAGCTCAAGGCAGTAGCTCATCCCTTGGATAAACCTTTTCACCTCCATGTACCTTAGTTTCATCTGCTGTGAGGTGGGGGTAATGGCAATGACCTCTTTATTAAAGCGTTCAGTCTACCAGTAAGAAGGGCTTTATAAGACTTATTACTAGTGAGAGAACATCAAACTGTGAATTAAGAACATGAAATTCCAGCAGAGTAAGACGGTATATTATTACTTCAGAAATGTCATGAATGTTAATATTTCTTAGCATACCATGCTGTTGGGTGATTCATCCAATTTAATTACTATGGTAAAACTAGACTTTTTCCTTAAGGCATATAACTATCATAAAAATGTAAATAGATACATAATCATCCATAGCAAACCTGCAAAGCAGGTTTCTTCCGAGACAGAGTAGTTTAACCTCTCTCTGTTCAATCGTGGTCCTCTTGTTTGGAGCTATTCATGTTGCTAAGTAATATCTTTCAAAGTATTTAAGTGGAATTGTTGCTTTAGGTTCAATTTTAAATTTTCTTAGCTGTTCAATGTCACATGAGATTTAATGCAGAAGCACCATGTCACTACTTATAACAGGAAGTACTCTTTGAAGTTATTAAGGTTATTTTTTTTTTTTTTCTTTTAATTGTCTCCTGATGTGCTGCCAGCAGGAATTAGAGCCAGACTACCATATAATGTAAAGACGGGTACTGAATGATACTCAGAGGTTAAGAAAGTCCGGGTACTCTGACCCTTAACTGGTTTATCATCCAGGGGCCCGGAGGCATTAAAATCCCAATAGTAGCAACCGCTTGAGCTGACAAATTAATCTAATCTTAGCATTTGCATGAAGACCTGACACAGAATCAGGAGCACCTGAACGCTTCCCGAAGCTGCATGCATAACAAAAAAGATATTAGTCAACAGGTTTATTCAGGACCTGGTAGAGTAAAAGTGTTCTTAAAGGATGCGGTTTGTGCAGATTGACAGTGGAAGTCCTCTCTCATACCTGTTCCTAGGAAAATAACATCATATTGCCCGTCCTCTGCCATGACATGATCCACCACAATCTGAGTCAGACGATAGTCCACGTTGATTCGAGTGAATACGGGTCCTCCCGTCACTGGGTAAACGGATTTGTACATCAGTGGATGACGCTTAATAAAGCTAATGACTTCATCGGGAAAGTCTCTGGTAGACTTTATGAGCGGATCATAGGTTTTGCTTGGACACTGAATGAAAGAGAGAGAACAAGAAGATGAAAGGAATATTAGGAAAGATGTACAAGTAATTTGCAGATACGGTGTAGCCGTAAACCTACCTGGTTCAGATTAGCTATATCAGTTTGTAAAGCACATTTGTCGGTGGTTGGCAATTTGATTTACAGTTGAAAAAGCTCAGTGTTGATGTGAAAGTGTGGGAGCACACTGGCAGAGTGTCCTCCTCTGGTTCTTCAAAGGGTCATTTTCTTTCTTATTTCTCCACTCTCTCCCCTTCTCTTTTCATTTTAATTTCTACTCAAAAGCTCTTCCCCTTCATCTTCATCTTCCTTTATCCTGCTCCCACGCATTCTCCTTTATCTTTTAAAACCACCCCAAACTTACTAGTTTGTTTCATCTCTCATTTTTACTACTACTCACAATTATAAATCCTCCGTTCCTCTTAGTTATATGCCCACACCTGCAACTACCCATAGATATATGCAAGCTTTGAAGAAAAATTGTTATAGACTTTTTTTCTCAGTCAGAGATTTTGGTAACCTAAATTAAAACTTAGAGAGGGGATGAACTTTCTTAGCTTCTCTAAGATGCTCAGGAAAAGAAGACAGCATTAGAAAAGAGAAGGTCTCTATTTCATGTTGGATAAAATGTGAATTAATTCATATTTATTGCATTAACATATCTGTAAACACAAACAACTAAAAGCTACACAAGTATTTTTAGTTTTATCACCAAATGGCCTTTAAGACCATGACCTTAATATTCATACCACTATCACCAATAATGAAAATACCTGATTAATATTAAAATGCAAGCAGTATATTCAGTACTGTTTTGCACTTTGAAGTGTTTGGTTTTTTTTAAATCCTATATGGGAGCCAGCAAAATTTAGCCATAAACAGTCTAATAATATATGAAAATACCTAGTTTTTCCTTAAATATTTAGAAACTACATGTATATAATACCATAATGTCATCAGCGTAGGCCTCTTTGGAAATTTAGTCTCATGGATAAAGGACAAATTAAATCTATATTCAAGTAGAAATCAAGTTTTCTGTGAGAACACTTGTGAAGACAGTAAGAAATCAGGTTGCTCACTGATTTTTCTCATCTCAAAGAAAGCAGCATGTGGTCACCATTACTTCATTTGTTTGAAAGCATTGTCTTAAAACTGGAGAAATTCTCATGACGGGCTCAGTACCTCTGCAACAAATTTCACCTCCTTGTTCCCTGCCTCACTCACAGGCGCCTTAACACGTTGGACATTTTACAAAGACGAATAAATCAAGTCTGGGGTGAAGGAGACCTCTCATGGTGTCTAGCTGTCATTTCAAGGCACAGGTACCAAGATGCAGTTAAATTTGCTACATGCTGAACAAACTACTGTACCTATCAGTGTAACAGTCTTTCAACAGCAAGTCTAGAGTGCCCTCCGGTGGCTATCATGAGATAACCTCAAGTAATTAAAGTGCAGGATCTTACAGACCAAAGTTTTTCTGCTTTTTATATTTCTGCTCCTCTTAGCGAGACTGAGTTTCTGCCCTCTTTGATGCAGTGAGCCAGAACTGGGCAAGATCCTCACCAGCACGCCTTGATGTTAAACTAATGGCTTGATTTGTCTGGGCAGATTCGCTCAGAGTTACTGTGGCAGAAGGCCCCTAATAAATGCTTTAACCATGTTCATTTTTCCAGGCTGAAACACCCACATCTATCTTTTCCCTGTATATTACCTTCAATCAGAGTCCATAACTTTGTAGTGAACAGGACATCCTACACCTCTTGTTTAATTTTATTCTAATAAAGACAGATTCTCCACATGCCAAATGATCCCTGTAGCTTCTTATTTCTTAGAAGTGACTTTCCTTACTCATCCACATAGCTGGAACTCCTGCCCAGGCCCATGGCTCAGCTGCTGCAGCATCCTTTTTTCTGGCTTTGAACAGCACAGTCTTATCCTATTCTGGTCCAGACCACTCCCTCAGACGCTTCCCCAGTGTAATTCATTTACTGTTGAGGTTGGCTCTCACCCCTGTTTGACCCATAGTGATAGACTAATCAATTCAGTTGTTTCTTTGGCCTACACAAAGTAAGTTGTCTTTCACACATATTGCTTGAAGATCACCCACAAACCTACATCTTCAACCTCCTTCAATTTTTTCTCTTCTATGCCTTTCAGGGTGAGCCCAGGAACATACTTGCAAGGTCAGTCATGCTGGTGACCCACCATCTCTCATGCTCACCTATCTGTGCTTTCCTTCCCATAGTTGTTTTTATCTCTTTCCTATAGCTTGTTTAACACTTAGTTTCTAATCTGATTCTGAGAAAGCTTCTCTTTTGAAACTGGAGGCATCTAGATGTTACTGAGGCACTACAAATCCTGGACAATAATAAGCAACTGGAAACACTATTCCAGTTGGTGATATCCTTTTGCATACAAACTGTTGGCTGCTTCTATTTTAACACTATTTTTAACTAAGTAATCCCTGTGTTTCCTGCCAGGTGGAGCCATAACACAGCCTGTGAAGAAAGAAATGTGATTAAATAATGCCTTTGTAGTCTGCCAGGAGAAAGTTAAGATTTGCGGTGAAGTTGCTCTACAGTCCTCCTTCATGGCTAATTTCAATGGAGAACACATTAGTTCACATTCCCAAATACCCAGTTTGACACATGTTCAATCTCTGGTGCCAGTTAAGGGCTTGCGGTCAGGATTTGTTCCACTATGTAAGGTTTGGCATTATCCAAAACGTTTGCATTAGGAACAACACACACAGTGCCAAAGGCTGAGCGTGTCCCTCCTCCATTGCTGGCAAACTCCCTTCTTACAGGAGCCACAACTTCAGCTGCTAGCAGTGAATTTGTCCCCTTGGGTTGAGGACCAGCCTGGATGTTTTTCTTCCTTGGCTTTCCACTGCCCTTTCTCTGCCTGGGCTGAGGGGTGCACACAGCTAGAAAGGGAATGTAGTGTCTCCCAGTGGGTACAGGTATTGTGTACCCATGCCTAAGGAGGAATTCTCCAGGCAGTAAATACAGATAATACAATGCAGAATTACATCATCATATACAGTTCTACGTGAACATGCACCTCTATAAATACCCTAAATGCAAAGACAATAGCAACTAGTTGAACAAAAATTTCTGACTGAGGATAACTTTTTCAGAAGTATCAGAGATTACCTGTGTATTCAGAAACAGAAAAAGACAGTGAAGCACAGACCAGATGATGTTCTACAGCCACATCTACAGCCACATCTGAAAATGCCTGTTGGGGGCAGTTCCTGGCCTACCTTAGACCCCAAACATTGCCACAGCATTGCCTGGGAAGGTACCAGTTGGAGCATGTATAAACTATGGCAAAGCCTGTGCTAGCATTAAACCATGACTGTGGGTCTGCGCTTGAACCTGACCTCTGCTTTTATTTAGTAGAGATGTAGCCTGAGTGAATTAAGAGACTGCAACCTATTTCCAGTCCTTGCTTAAACTGATTTTTATGGCTATTTAGAGACCTAACAGATTTTGTGTGTCACTTGCTTAGCGTTGTTTCAATCCGTAAAAGTTAAGGCTGTGTGTCCTTATCTTCATAAAGGCTCTGAAATTGTTTACTGAAAATAGGGCTTAGGCTCCTGAATCACCTAATCAATTTTGAAAATTTCTCCATGGACAGTAAACCTGTGCCAATTTGCATTAAGATCTATTCCATCCCATATTCAGTCATTTTGTTTCAATATACACTTTTAAGTAAGGCTGTGAAAGAACTGACAAGGAAACCAAGATGGGTTTGTATTATTGTCCTGTGGTAACTGCTTAAAGGACATCCCTTGAAAATGCATTTTAATACAAGTGAAAAAGAAGAAGAGGAAAGTAGTATTGAAAAAATAGTTCAGTTGGAAACACATATTGCAGTGAGTTTTCCCTAGGGGTTTTATGCTAGCATTTCTGTAAGAACTTCACCCTCTGGCTTACTGAGTATGATCTCCCATGTTCTATTTTCTGCTGTGCTTTCAAAAATTAAAGTCTTTGCAAGGTTATATGATTGAGGTGAGCTGTAGCAGCTTGATTTTTGAAGACAGCAATCTCAGTCAAATAATTTCACAAAGAAATGCATGGGTTTGTACTATATAGCAAAAGACACTACAGAAAGAGTGGGACAAAAAAAAAAAAAAAGAGACAATTTAAATTTTAGACTTTGTGGTAAAGAAATAAAGTGAACCATAATACAGGAGAAAAGATTCAGACAGCACAATAACTATACAGAAACCAAGTCACGTGCACACTTGCTACACGGGCAGTACTTCAGAAATGAACATTTCTTCTTACCTTTAGACCAACCAAGGTCTGAGTCTTTGCCACTTATAGCAGAATCAGACCTCAAAAACCCTACTGATTTCAAAAACATATTTATCTTTACAGTGGCTGTTTGTTGGAATCCAAAATAGAAAAACATATGCTTTAATTGCCTTTGGATCAAAATTTTGCCTCAATTTAGTCTATATAGGACAAGAAGTAAATTCACTTCTTCACTTCTATGCAATAACTCTCTTCCCCCTCACTGAGTACTAGAGGTTGATTTTCCCTTATATGTGCATTTTCTGTGGCTCATGCTCTCACTTGCTACTCTGAGTCACAGTCCACATCTTCTGGAAATTCGCCGATTGCTCACCTATTCACAGCTCAATCCCAGAAGCCCATTTCTATGTGAAAAATGGGAGTAGCCCCACAGGTCCTAAAGATGTCCTAGATATTTGCCAAAAATGCATCAACAGAGGAAGATGAGAGTGATGACATCACTTACTAAAAACCACTAGGATAAAATGTCTACCAGTACGGAACTATAAAGTTGTTACAGTAATCCCAAAGGCCCAAACCCTACCATGCATGATATAGGGAAATCTCTGCCAGTTTGCACAGCTAATTTACTAGAAACAAGGATGAAGGGTCTGATCCAAAGATCCGCTTGAGTCAACAAGCCTTTCAGTGGGCTTTGGATCCCATCCTAAGACAGCATGACCACCAA